CACCAGCACACACCGCAGGCAGAGCTCTAAGGGGCAAACCCTGCTGCAGTGATCTTGATATGGAGTATCTTCTTTATGTGCCCATTTTCACAGATCTGAATTCCCTGATTGTCCATAATGCTTATATTAGTTCACCCTTGAACCCGCTGCAAATTAATGAATCTTTTGGGCTGATCCCCAGTTACAGTTGTGGGGACAGTCAGCTCCCTGGACAAAGAAGAGAGACAGAGACCACTTCTTTAAGGCTGCATCGACCAGGGCACCCCCCACCCTATGCAGCCCTAACCCATCAAACCTCCGACATGACCCAGCTGTCCTGCTGTAAAAGAACTATCCTGGCAGGGAACGACATGGCCCCATCGCTATGTCGGGCACTAAAGAACAGGTTCTGTCAAAGCGCTCAGCATAGCGGGTAAGAGCTGAATCTGTTTGCGAAAAACGTCCTGCTGACTTTGGAGCTTTACGTGGAAGGAACTTTTTACCAACTTGAAAAGAAACTTCTTCAGTGTATAAAAGAGCTCCCAGGTTGTAATTTGTTATAATTAAACTAGATGAGGCGGATACTGGAAGGAGGCAAGCCAATTAGTCTGGGACGTCGATTTTTGTTTGCCACTGTCAAAGTCGGTTAAAGGAACTTGATAGATTGCTGGGTTGGTTTTTTCAGCCAGATAATCCCCATGTGAAAGACAGGCAGGCAGCCGGGTGCAGAGAAGCACATTGCAGTTGCCATTGAATAAAGGCTGCAGCTGCCAGCATGGTGCTCGGAGGTGATAAAGGTGTTGCAACGCCTGAGCTGTGGATGACTGGATGGAGAGGTGAAACTCAGGATCCAAACATGGAGCAGATCCCGGCACGGTGGCTATGAACAAAGAAAGCCTACACTCAACGGTGTTTGAAAGAGACAAGGCACCAGCTGTTGGGGCTAAAATTTGCCATTTTGGGGGCAGGACGACAGGCTTTTGAGTGGCTCTCTTATGTGTTCTCAGGTTTTAAACAACAAAAGATAGTCTTGTCTCATGTTAGCCAGCAACCATACCCCTAGCTTCAAACCCTAATATCCTTATTAATACATGGTAAATACCACCTTCTAAATACCATCTTCTGCACTACTGAAAGAAAGCAGGTGTTAAATAAAACCAGCTATAATTCTCAGGTTTTTAACTGGTAAAGTGCTATTGAAAATTACTTATAGTAGTTAATGTCATATCCTAGCACTAAAAAAACCCTTCAGCAAATCCAGATTATGAACTGTTTCATTTTAATGAGTTCCTTCAGATCATAATTGAACTTCAAAATATTTATTTATTTCAAATTTTTTGTAAAAAATCTCTATGGATAGGAAAGAGCTGGGCACATCAGTGCAACCAATAATTCCTCCAGCAACACCAGAAATTGTAATATATCATCACTCTATGTCACTGTACCAGGCAAAAATCTGTTAATTTCTTGCTAAAGTTCCTGTTTTCAGGTCCTGAAGGCATCAGCTGCTCTTTTACGAAACTGGTGGTACCTGACTCAGTCCTTAGGGAACACGTGGTTCCGCATTTCTGCAGTCACATCTCCAGTTTTACTATCAGTTAAGGTACCATTGCAAATCTGATCCTCTGTAAAATTTGAATGAAGCAGAAACTTGGGGAAAGGAAAAAAGTCTAAAAGTTTGAAGGACAGATCTTCAGCTGTTCTAAGTTATTACAGTATGACTTCTTAATGCCACCAGAACAGTTTATACCAACTGATAATCTAAGGTTTTAGGATTGTCAGCAAATTCTGTTTTGCAGTACAAACCTAGTCATTTCCTGAAATTGCATGTTACAGTTAAGCTTAAGAAAACTGTCCAAGTTTATTGAGAAAGCTGACACTTACTTCCCATGTAGCTGGCTGATCTGGGACTCACCTAACACCTTACTGAAAGCATATGTTGCAAAAATAAAGGAATTATTGCTTACAGCTTCCTACAAAAATGTTAGCCAATATGATCTACTATATTGGAGGACACAGCAATTAACATTCAAATCCATTTATTATTCTCAAGATTGTTTTTTCCAACATGTACAGATTGATTGGTACTATTTTTGTGTCTCAATTTAGAAAAGAATGACAGTTTCCCTCAGCACTGCAGTGTGCATTTTGGCTTGTTCTACTGAAGACAAATTCCTCTCAATCAGGATTGTTCTGTTCATTAAGTGAGACAGATGGAAGACTTGCTGTATTTGTAATGAGTACGAGATTTTTAGACTATTTGGGATATACTAGTTTGCGTTCCCCAGCTAAAAAGTGATCAATATTTCAGATGGAAAAGAAGTCAGGTTCCGTCTTCACAGAATTTTTGTGGTGTGTACACAGTTCTTCATTAGCAAGCTGAAAACCTGAAGGACCCCAAGAAAGGCAGGGTTTAGACACATTCAGACAAATTTGTAAAACATGATCCAGCAGACATGCCTATCCTGGTAGAAAATGAAACACACTCTTCCAGAACAGAGTATGAATCTGTGCAACCGGCGGGATGTAGTGCTCCTTCCCTTGCCTCCTGCCTGGTCCCGAGGGTAGCACTGGGTTCAGTTGGAGGCCTTTAATCTGCCAACCCATAATAATTAATGCAGGGAAATTAATGCTGAAAAGTAAAACCCAAATGGGAACGATGTTGATCATAGAATCATAGCATAGTTTGAGTTGGAAGGGGCCTTTAAAAGTCATATAGCCCAACCCCCCTGCAATAAGCAGGGACATCTTGAACTCCATCAGGTTGCTCAGAGCCCCGTCCAACCTGACCTTGAATGTTTCCAGGGATGGGGCATCTGGGCAGCCTGTTTCTGTGTTTCACCACCCTCATCGTAAAACATTTCTTCCTTACAACTAGTCTAAATCTACCCTCTTTTAGTTTCAAACCCGTACCCTCTGTCTTATCGCAACAGGCCCTGCTACAAAGCCTGTCTCCATCTTTCTCATAAGCCCCCTTTAAGCACTGAAAGGTGGCAATAAGGTCTCCCCGGGGTCTTCTCTTCTCCAGGCTGAAGAACTCCAACTCTCTCAGCCTTTCCTCACAGGAGAGGTGCTCCAGCCCTCAGATCATTTTTGTGGCCTCCTCTGGACCCGCTCCAACACCTCCATGTCTTTCCTGTGCCGAGAGCTCCACAGCTGCAATCATAGGAATCACTGTGCTGGATGCTCACTTCCTGGGCTCTCTCTGCACTCAAGAAAGTTGAACGAAGGCAGCTTCTGGGAACTGTTAGACACTGAATGGTGCTCAGTTATCCCCGTCTCTGAAGTTCTGGAGCCGTCACAAACATAGAAGGCTGCACGCACTGACTAGGTAGACATCATCACTAAGTCATCATGTAAAGAAACAGAAAAATCTGTTGTGCTAAGCAGAAGTAAAATATTATGGAAGCAGATAAAAATATGTTCACCTTATTAAAATATTACAGCAATAAAGTAATTCACACTGTATCTTCTTCAAGATGCCTCAAAAATGATATTATTAATAAAGTTTTGTAACAAACTACCTGTTTTTTAGTGCTAATATCAAGTCTTGAAGACGGGACAAACCTAGTACTTTGTGGTATTCTAGAATACAGGGGAAAGAATGTATGAGGGAACACACAAATACATAAGGACAGATGGCATTATCTTCCTACAAAACATCCCTCTTTTTGGCACAGTCTGACTTCACGGATAAAGATATACCATTTGAGGTATATCCAGTCCTAGGAATGGTAAGAAAGGGTTTTATTCAGTTGTCGTTTCTATTGACTTTGTCTTAACACTTACTTCAGACTTGGTTTCGGGGAAGGTTAACCTATGTTCAGGTTGTGTTTTCTCCAAAGATGGTGAAGTCTTTGATTTAACTAGCTAGGAAACAGGTGGATGCACCACAAGAGCCTTGTCACCTAAAAATGATAGACTCTACCTGCAATTTATTACCATCCCCATTGGGTTTGTATTGATAAATAACACAAATAGAATTTAGAAGGCAAAGAGTCAGGGAAAACATCAAGACAAGCCTTCTTCTAGCTCTCATCTGCTCAGACTTGAAAATATATGATTCAAGAGAAGACTGCAAATTCAGGTTTTAAATGTTGTTGCACCAGAAATTACCAGCTGAATATTGTGAGGATATTTATGAAGGAACCTAGTGGACCTCTGTTCAGCTTCCGGTGGAGAGGTAGAGATATCGGAAGGAATGTCCTTCCTGACAGTCCCACCAAAGAAACCATAAAATGAGAAAGCACAGAACTAGAAACAACCCCAAAACACTGATGAAGTTTCCATTGAATGCTGAGGCATGTAGGCTCTGTGGAGAGACATAACTCTCTGGGGCATACAACTGTGCACAGCACTTTATATAGTAATTAAGAAGAAAGAAACAGTATTTCCTTAAAAAAGCTGCCAGTTCCCCAGAGAAAACAGCTGTGTGCATCACTTTATGCTAGTGGAGACAGAATAGAAAACAAAACACCACAGAGTTACATACATGTTCTTTGTCTAGAAGTATTTACAAATAACTTTACAAATTTTTACAGACATTTTCAGGTTTGTTTGTTTACTTTTAAATTAAGAGCAAAATTAGTCCCCAGAGGCTTCTAAGGCTTCAGTTGGTGCCTTGTACTGTGCATTCATGCTTGGCTTCTTCCTGGGAAAAGGGAGGAAAAGAATTTAAAAATGTGCAAATCACAGACAGAGAGCCCTGGATGTAAGGATGTAAGGATTCCTAGAGACTGACAGCTATAGAGCAGTCATCCTACTTCTCTTCAAATCAGAGACAGCTACTGGTGGTGGGCTCAGGGCAAAAGAGATTAGGGAGGGAGAAGGAGCCATATATGAATTGCAATAATTAGGTGAGTACGTTAGTGCTGGAACATCTGGGTAAAAGAGTCATAGATCAATTCCTACTGCCTACAGCAGTTCAAACAATGCAAGGAATGGACATCATAAATTCCAAACACAGCAGTGAAATGATGTCTTGTACACTGTTAGGGTTTGACTCCTGCTGCATATTTTGGAGTCAGAATTACTGTTTACTGACACAATCTTGACCAGGCACAGTATGATTCTATCAGTCAAAAAATACTGACTTTTTTTTGAGAAAGATGCACCTTTCTCCTAGTTTTCACAGGTTGTTTTGTTTTCATGCCTTAACACTAAATGTTGTAAAAATACTGAAATTAAAAAAGAAAAAATTTACAATTTACAAGTGTCCATATAAGTAAATTATTCAAAAATTCAAGATCATCTACAAGGATCTATGAAATAACAACGCTGATAATGACGCTGAGCCTGTGGGAAGAACAATCCACATGCCGTGAGAAACGGATGGTGGGTTTCTTCCAGAATGATGAGTTGCAAGGTTGGTCTTTTCTTCTAAAATCTGGTTCTTCAGCTACAGCAGCAGAAGTCTTGAGTCCATGTTCATTACTTACTTCGACCTAAAAAGCAGAATATATTAATTACTTACAAATGAAAACCTATGTTTATCTTCTCATTTGTGAGATGTAAATTCACACCAGCTGACAGTTAGTAACTAATCAACAAATAGATAGAACACCTCTGGTCACTAATTTCCTCAGCTGTAAGACCCACATATAAGGTCAAGAATGAATGGCTGGGTAAAAAGTGGCAGTTTTCATTCATGTGTACCACAAAGGCAAAAAATATCTGGGGAAAAAATGCCACAGATAGTGAACCATGCCTGAAGCTCACATAATACTAGATTCTTTTCAGCATAATATAATTTAACAGTGTAAGATACACATTCACCACATTACAAAATTCTGACATGACCTCAGTAAAAAAGTGTGCGTTTGAGCTGGACTCATGCTGTTTATAGTTCCCATCACAATTACACCCCTGCTGAATCTACGTATTCTCACATGACTTCCTGTCAACCATGAAAATCTATGATGGTCTTGCACAGAGATTTTACAGTGGGTAGAGTCTCAGGAGAAGATGCAAACAGCATGGGATCACACAGACCATCAGAGAGCAGTGATTTCTCCACTGGCAGAGTTTCTCAGACATTGCATTAGTCCCACGTGCAGAAGCCAGCAACGTCCCTAGAAATGCTAGGGACACCAGCAGCACTGTATGAGACCTACTAATCCAAACACGAATGGGACACGTGGAAACTTTAACTTCTGCACACCATTAATAGTAATAATAATGATAATGTTACAAAAACCTAATGCAAGCCAAAATGCAACTATTTATTTTTTTCATCTAGAAACATAGAATCATTTAGGTTGGAAAAGACCTTTAGGATCATTGAGCCCAACCGCAAACCTAACACTGCCAAGTCCACCGCTAAACTATGTCCCTAAGCACCGCGTCTACATGGCTTTTAAATACCTCCAGGGATGGCAACTAAACCATGTCCCTGGACAGCCTGTTCCAATGGTTGATAACCCTTTTGGTGAAGAAATAATTCTTAATATCCAATCTAAAACTCCCCTGGCTCAACTTGAGGCCATTTGCTTTTGTCCTAATTTCTTCTAATCCCCATGCTCCTCTCTTTTCAATATAGCAGTACATGAAGTAATTCTAATACCGAGTGACCTGGCTGTTGATAACTGTGTTTCAAACAGACGACAACACAACAATCTGCTTTATAGTCCATGTGCTTTAGTCCCAAAGAGAACAGGACAATTTTTTTCCACTCCCTCAGTTGTCTCATGCTTTACACACATGTTAATGGAAACTGCACAGTTCAGGCCAAAGATCTTGCTTCTCCTTGTCCGGTAGCTGAACGGAGTTATAGGCAGAATGAATAGCAAACAGAGAAGATATGATCATTCATATTTACATTAAAGAATGTTCCCTGAGAGACCAAGTTCAAATTTAACCTCTTCTCAGGGGTGAAAAGGAAAACTAATCTTAGACTTGCAAATCATTGATAATTATGGCAGCATTAAGCAGATATCGTACAGAACGTGCATACTCAGCAAAACAAGACTGTCTTCTACATAGTTTGGATGAGGCTACAGAATCTTGTCATTTCAATGGGCTGTGTTTAGTTAATTTCTGAATGAAATAAGAGAAATAAAAGGAGTGAGAAAAGGGAAATGAAGCCAAATTTTCATCTATAAAAGGTATCATGCTAATTTTTCCCATGAGAAAAGTGTCAAGGATGGCAAAATATTTGCAACCTTTATTAAGGTTTTGAATGTATTTAACGAGCATTATTCATGTTCTAATTCTCAGAGAACAGAAATGGAGTTTTTCACAGCCTGGACACCAGAAGTCACATTTCTTAGGGATACAGTGGATTCTCAGACTGTATATAACTGGTACAGACAGCAATTAAATTTTCAAAAGAAGTCAAGAAGGCTGATGTGCTGCAGAGAGATAACAATCTCCAAAATTCTGGCACAATCCACTGGCTATTCAGATTGTTTCCAGCAATTAGGTTTTTAATTCACTTTTTGATCACTGATGGTATTTTTCCTCCCTGCTTGGGTAAAGATCCTCTGTATCTTTCAGTGCATAAAACCAAAACATTAATAAAGAAGAAAACACAGTATAATTTGTGTTCCAGTTTTGTACTTCTGGCAGCCATAAAGAGGCCAGAGAGGGTCTTCCCAGCTGTACAAGAATACTCATGTATGGGAAACAGGAAGATGCCATTTATTTTCCAGTATTGCAAGCTCACCAACAACCCCCAAATCCTTCAAGTTACTTAATCAAAATCTGCTATCAAAGAACAAATTCTCAGATACTGTAACTTTTCTACTGCAAAACACATTAGCAGATTTTGCAGGAACATATATATGTCTTTCGTGAAAATATCTTTTTTTCCTCTCCTTTAGTTATAGTAAGTTTGTGAAGAAAGTACTAAACTTTTATTCACCTAATACTTTAAAATTAACCTCAATGCAGGTTTAGAGATTAAAATCTTTTATGGGGAGGCGTAAATGTTGTAGCTATGGCTTTTTTTGCTCCTGGTTAACAATTTCACTTTTTCAGTCTCTATCAGCTTATTCAGAATGGTCATAACTCCATTTTGCTGTAGTCTTTCCCATAGAAAATGGAGTAAAATTGGCATTTAATGAAATGTTACAGATTCCAGTGTAGAGGGTGCACTTGATGCCATGTCAAAGTGTTCATTATTTCATTTTGATGTCGTAACGTGACATTTCTTCCTGTTCGAACATACACCGTCATACTGAGATAGGGCTTTTCTCTTTTGCAGGCCTTCATAATCCTACAATATTTACTCACTAAATTTGACTGAAATGTTGTCCATGTTTATTTCTATGAAGTGAAAGCTGCAGCATGAATAACATGTATTTAAAAAACATGCAGAAGTTCATAAAGTCACAAGCAAAGTTCAGGTGTCAAGTGCTGACTTAAAACACTTGGTTAGCAATTTTCCAGGTTAAATTAAAACTCCCAGCACATGCACACAGGCGTACACCAGGAAACACCTTCAACCTCATTTTAATTCTGTTAACTGGTAGGTAAAATACAGTAAGTCATTACATCAGTTTCAGTCAATATCAGCGGCAGGTGTGTTTTATGTTACATTTAAGTTGCATGAAAGGCCTGAAGGTAAATTTAAAGACAGAAAGCATCAGGGCAATAACTTACAAGCATCTAAGAAGAATTTCCAAATGAACATCTTCTATTTTACCAGTAATACTTTGAAATATCATCTGTTTGAAGTTATCTGAGCTTCTGTCAAAATATATGTATTAGTAATGTCTCCCAATCTTAATTTATTCCAAATAAAATTAATAGATATGCATCCAAAATTATTCATTAGGTAGCAGTGTAGGAAGAGTCTATGAAAACGTGATTTTGATGGTGGGAGCAAATAAGTGATGACAGATAACGAACTTCCAGTGAAACTCTACAGATAGATAGGTTTTAAGCTCACTAGCAGTTTTTCAGCAAACAATTTTCTTTCAGCAGCTAGACAAATGTAAAAGCTTCTGCTTTTCCATAAATGGGTTAATCACGTTAAGGTTTATGCAGCAGCAGCCATAAACCAGCTCTCTTCTTGCTAAAAAGTCAGCAGGGAAGCAATTCCACCCTTCACTGCAAGCCTCTCCTTGCGTTAAGCCGAAGCGGACATGGCAGACACGGTGATATCTACTAATCCTTGCTTTAGCGGATATGTCACCAATGACAAAGTGTCCTTACTCACATGTTTTATGTGGATTAATTTTTAATCAAGCTCTAATTAAAATATAATTAAATTATTAGTAACCTGATGCCAAAATTATTTCAGGAGAAGGTTAGCTTTCAGTCCAGTTAGAAGGATTAATATGGTCCGTAGGACCGGAACCTTACCTACAGGCTTTACAGGCTTTAACTCAACATGATCCTGGGGGGGCTGTCGGTAGGAGTATGTGTCAAGTCCGCCTATGAAATCAACTGAAAATACAACAGTTCCAGAAATGAACAAATGGAAATGAAAATATGTCAACTGAAAAAGAAACATGGACAAATTATGTTTAAAAAAATGGTAAGTGCATGCAAGTGTTTGCTTACAAGAAATAAACAAAGTACGTAAAGCTGCAGTGGAAGCTGCCAACAGAAGTCTCTGTGCTCTGTCTTCCTTGGGGTCCACTCAGCCCTGTGCCTGGCAAGGTGGGCTACCAGCTGGCTGAGCAGACATGCGCACTCCTGCCAGTGTGCGTGCAAAGGGAGCGTTCATGGAGCTGCAGTGGGAGGAGGTCGTTGCTGCTCCTTAGGGCAATCTCAGCATATATTTCATTGATTCGCTTTCCGCTCCTTTTGCAGTGTTTAGAAATTTAGGCAGTGGAAACAGTTTAGCTTGTGAACCTAATTTCACCTAAACTTAAACAGCTGAGAACAGAATGTGAAGAAGCAGCATCACCTTCTCTGGATGAACTTGTGGGGACAGGAAGCCTTTTCAGAACCCTTCTACTTTCTCTCAAGATTTCTATGTCAGAAATAATGTTGAGATATCTGCTCTTGAGAAGTTTTTAGTGCCTTCTACAATCATAATGATTTTAAAATAAGACATCTTAGTTTGAGTTTTGTATCTTGTTTTGTCTGGTAAGATTTTTCAGCAGCTGAAAGAAGCCACAAACCCAAGCTATCCTAGAAATCTAAAAGCAGGTTCATGGAGAAGGTTATTCTTCTGTTGATATAAATGGGCTTCTTGCAGACCTGTGCATAGCACGTTAGGATTCTTTGGTCACATTGAAAGCAACTGCCTTCGTTTGTTTATACATAGGCATATGTTAAAAGCCCTCAATGGAATTTTGATCCTCATTGTATTAATCGCTGAATGAGCACCTAATAAGAAACAGTCCCTTCCCAAGCAATGTATGCCCTAGGTAAAGAAGGAAAGTTAAGATTGCTCATCCAGGGTGAGGGGATGCAGAAATGAGGCTTAGAGATTGAAGGACTGGTGAAATATCTGCTGAAATCTGTGGAAATGCTCTTGTTGATTTTAGTT